CGTGATATTCTACAGAGTGATATTTTTTCGGGGTCCATGCCCGCTTTTCTTCCCTTGAACTTTTGTGCGGTGCGCCGCTGGAAGATTTTAAAATAAAAATTGAATTTTATGTTCTGTTGAGAAACGTTTTTGTCTCATGACTTTTTCGTATCTGCGGCCGTTATCGAGGAAAAAAAACGATTTTGTGTAATTCGTTTGATGAAATTGAAATTCTTAAAATGGTCCAGTAGGCTCTGGCTTTATTTAAATAATCTCTTGTTTCTATTAATTTTGACAGTTTATTCGCCACTACCTGTTAAAAATTAAAGCTGAGATGACCCGGTTTTTGTAGCAATGATTTATTACAATACAAAAAACTTAAATAATAACAAGGAAACTATGTTACAACAATTGTTGAAAGTGGCGCCTATGAATATTTAAGGATATTCATTAATCAGGTATCATTATATTGGGATAGCGCTTCATATACAGACATCTAGCTTCTCTTACATTAATTAATTTCCATTCGCAAGGCCATACATGAAATGCATTTCAGCCATTTCAAAATTCCTAAAATTTGGCATTGTTATGAGATTATAATGAGTATTTAAAACACTTTTATACCTTAGTTTGTAACATAAACCTTTAATTTTTAAACATATGCAGACCCAAGTTACGATTTCAAATGCGAACTGTCAAAATTAATAGAAACAAAAAGGATTATCTAAATAAAGTCGGAGTCTACTGGACCATTTTAAGAATTTCAATTTCATCTAACGAATTACACAAAATCGTTTTTTTTCCTCGATAACGGTCGCAGATACGAAAAAATCATAAGAGACAAAAAAGTTTCTCAACAAAAGATAAAATTCAATTTTGATTTTAGAATCAACCAGCGGCGCACCGCACAAAAGTTCAGGGGAAGAAAATGGGGCATGAACCCCGAAAAAATATCACTCATCCAGCTATGAGTTGAGATATTGCAAGATCTGTTTTAGCAATTCTTTTTTTTTATTTAATTATTATTTTTTTTAGATTCGTTCCTCTAGGGCGAAAATGTTAGTAAATTCAACAAGGCTCGTATAGGCGTATGACATAAAGTGAGCACAACTTTATTAGTTGTTTTTCGAACAGTGTAATCATGATAAAACAAGTTAAATGTGAAACAAAGGAGTTGTTATTGCAATATCCGGGCAGCCACGACAATATATATATACAGGGTCGGAAAGTCCCCATGGTTCATCGGCCGTTACGTGAGAGCGATAAAGAAAGTCATAGAAATTCGTGCGATAGAGAAAGATGACTATAATGAAGGCGTCTAATAGTCACCGTCCATTTCGCCCTTCCACAAATAAGATCCACTTCTTATTTGTGGAAGGGCGAAATGGGCGGTGACTATTATGCGCCTTCATTATAGCCATCTTTCTCTATCGCACGGATTTCTATGACTTACTTTATCGCTCTCACGTAACGGCCGATGAACCATGGGGACTTTAAGATCCACTTCTTATTTGTGGAAGGGCGAAATGGGCGGTGACTATTATGCGCCTTCATTATAGCCATCTTTCTCTATCGCACGGATTTCTATGACTTACTTTATCGCTCTCACGTAACGGCCGATGAACCATGGGGACTTTCAGACCCTGTATACATATATTAACATGTAATAAATAATGAGCAATCGTTAATAATAATTGTAACAATTTTATCTTAGAAATTTATTTATTAATTATTACACAGAATTTTTATCATGAAACATCTATAATCATCACAATCATACGATTACATAGAACAATTAACTGCATCGTCTTACTTTTCACTCCACGCTCTCCTCACTTCTATCTAGGCTTCCTTTTAGAAATCCCCACCCAAGCGTTTGCTTTTTGCACTTCCTTCTACCAACTGTTAATATTACGTTTTCATTATTATACAATACCCACGGAACAGGTGACGTCGAAGTTGATACGATAAGTATGGTTTTGCACAGCACCAAATCTGCTCTCCCGTATACTTACTAATGTTCCTTCCAAAGACACCCGTCAAAACCAATTTCTGCATATCCTGATACACAAAACATCATGTTCTCCTCTTGCAGTTATGTTCAAATTAGTTAATCAAGTTTCTTCATGTAACTCCATCCACCTGTTTTCACTCCAAAGAGAGACCGATCTAAATAACTCATTTAGAGGAAAAAAAAAAGAAAATTGTTACCTGGATTTTTATAAGTGAAGATGATAAAAGGGCTTTTAATAAACAAAAAAAATAAAAGCGTGAGCAGGGGCCGCGGAGGGTTGATTTGGGGGGTTGAAAAGTTATGAAAAATTATATCATTGGGATTTCTGGCGAAAGTTGACGTTAAACAAAAAAGGATCCTATACAATAGTGGTAGATCATGCAAAAATCTACAACTTTTGTAGAGGTCACTTTTTAACATAACCTCAAAATTTCCGAGAAAAATGCAAAAAACCGTTTCTTTCTGATTTTTCGTTTTTTATTTCTCATTTCTGCAAAAATAATTTAATTTTGACGAAACTTGGCGAAAATGTACCTTTCTGAGTCTTAAATAACCACAAATTTTTTTAGATAATAAAATTAAGAAGTTTCATTCATTTTTTCGGTCTGAAACACTTTTTCTTCAAAGAAAAATTCTACTTAGAAAAATCATCGTACAGAGTTCTGCCGGTGATAATTTTTTTTGTTTTGACATATACTTTTTGGTGAAATAAAAAATCTGTAATCACAGTTCAAATACATGCTCACAAATGCAAAAAAAATAAAAATTACTTGCAGCAGTGAATTTTTCAGTAATTGTTGATAATTTGTTTAAATTAAAAAGAAAATCAAAAACTGATTACGCCATTCAATTGTATGGAAAAAATACAACAAAAACTCTCATTGTTTGACCCAAAACTTTATTTTTGTACAGTATTGCTATAAACATAAGTCGAGTAGTCAATAAATAAAATAAATAATATTTTTTTTCCTTAATATCGATTAGTGTACTTATTTTTTTAAAATTTTAATGAATTCATAGATATACAGTGTAAAGTTTTAAAATTCCTTGTAGTTCCGGAGATATCCGGAAAAACCCGAAATTTTGCAAAATTTTTAATTTTTTCTGGCTTTATTTGAAAACGAATTTTATAACGAATAAATTACATATATACAATGGCGTCAACATTTGTGCATACCGACGTTTCGCCTTCGAGAGACCATCATCGGGTTAATTTTTTTAAATACGTCGCTGCTATTTACATGTCATTTTTAATTCCGAATTAGAGGGTATTACTATTGTAATCGCTTAAAAAGTTTTTAGCTTGTTTTAGCTATCATTTAAAATTTTTCCTGAGTACGGCTCTGAACGCTTTCAAATTATCTATTGGATGAAGTCATAACAGTATAAAAGTCAATACCGCACAAACTATCCAACAATTTTTTTTACTACTATTAGCAATACTAATTAGAAATAATAAAATATTTCATGAATTCGTATTATTTTTTTATTAGGTACAACTTTTTAAATTATTGATTTAAAAAAAAAATTGTTGGATATTTTGTACTGTACTGAGTTTTATTCTCTCCTCTCTCCTCCAATAGATACAGGTATTTTGAAAGCGTTCAGAGCCATGCTCAGAAAAAAATTTAAATGATAGCTAAAAACCTTTTTAAGCGATTAGTAATATCATTTAATTCAGAATTAAAAATGACTAAATTTCGTCATAAAAATAGCAGCGACATATTTAAAAAAATTAATCTGATGATGGCCCCTCGAAAACGAAACGTCGGATTGCAAAACTGTTGACGCCATTGAATAGAGGAAAATAAAATTCGTTTTCAAATAAAGCCGGAAAAAAAATAAAACGATTTTGCAAAATTTCGGGTTTTCGGATTTCGCGCCAACAGTAGACTTTGTAGTTAATACTTTGTATTGCTGAAATCTCAAATCATTCAGAGATAATTTATCAATTGTGCATATGTAATTTACTTAGATGTTTATAGCAATACTGTACAAAAATAAAGTTTTGGGTAAAACAATGAGACACAATTTTTTATATTTTTTTCCGTAGAATTAAATGGTGTAATCGGTTTTTGAATGTTTTTTAATTTAAACAAATTATCAACAATAACTGAAAAATTCATTGTTGCAAGTCATTTTTTATTTTTTTGCATTTTTGAGCATGTTTTTGAACTGTGATTACAGATTTTTTTATTTCACCAAAAAGTGTATGTCAAAGCGAAAAAATGATTACCAGCAGAACTCTGTACGATGATTTTTCTAAGTAGAATTTTTCTTTGAAAAAAAGTGTTTCTGGCCGAAAAAAATGAATATCAGAAATTTCTTAATTTTTTTTTCTAAAAAAAAATGGTTATTTAAGACAGAAAAGTATACTTTCATCAAGTTTCGTTAAAATTAAATTATTTTTGCGGAAATACGAAATAAAAAACGAAAAATCAGAAAACAGAAGGTTTTTCGCATTTTTCTCGGAAATTTTGAGGTTATGTTAAAAAATGACCTCTACAAAAATTGTAGATTTTTGCTTGATCTACAACTTTTGTATTAGATACTTTTTTGTTTGACGTGAACTTTCGTCTGAAATCCCAATTTTTCAACTCCCCAAATAAACCCTCCGCCGCCAATGCTTACACATTGATTTTTTTTAGAATTATTATAAGCCCTTTCACCATTTCCAGTTATAATAGTCCAGGTGACAATTTTTTTTCTCCAAGTGTAATTGGTTGGACTGAGTACTTTTAAAAGAAATTAAACAAATTTTTTCTATAAACAATTTACCATAATCATCAGTTTTACATGTTTTAATTTTGCAAAATCGTTATGTGGATGTTGTTTGCCCTTCTGATATAGTACTGCTATGTATTTTGATTATTACTTTGTTAGTGTGCTTGCTTTAGGTAGTCACATATTGTACAATTCAGTGTAGTAATGTAATTATGTATTTATGCCTGTTGAGAAAATAAATAAATAAATAAATAAATAAGTAAATAAATAATCAAAATTGTTTTCAGCTGATTTCTGTCCAGAATTAACCGATCCAGTAGGTGGTTACCAAACATGTAAAGACTGGGGAGCGGGAGGACAGTTTAAAGTTTGTGAGATCGGATGTAATCAGGGATTAAGATTTTCGCAAGAAATTCCTCAATTTTATACTTGTGGAATCGAAGGTTTTTGGAGACCTACAAAGAATCCTATTCTTCCTTTAATTTATCCAGCTTGCTCAGGTAAGCAATTTCTTAGCATAAATTAATTTTTATTAAAATAAATTTTGATTCGTTTCAGCATCTCAATCTGCTCAGAGAGTATTTAAAATTTCAATGTTATTCCCAAGTTCAGTTTTATGTAATGAAGCTGGACAAGGTGTATTAAAACAAAAAGTACGCAATTCTATTAATTTACTAAATAGAGATTGGAACTTCTGTTCTTTCTCTGTGGAGGGTACACGAGAATGTAAAGAACTAAATATTGATGTAAAATGTGATCACAGTTCAAAAAGACAAACAAGACAAGTTGCTGACAATGAAGATGGTGCTACATATATAATAAATGCAACTATACCAGTTGAGAAGTAAGGTTTAAATATTTTATCAAGGAACATTTTATGTTAAATATTATTATTGAGAAAATACCACTTAATCTGGAGCACAATGTCTACATAATAATATGTAAACATTTCTCATTTTGATACTCTCTTTAAAATCACTTAATAATTGTAACATTGTTTATATAATCGCATGAATTAATTTAGTTAAGCTTTAATAGTAGTTTATTAGGTTAAATAAGTAGCCAGCATGTTCTGTATTGTAGAAGTACTCGCCAAGGACGGCAATCATCCAGTGACACCTACAACATAGATATCTCCTTCCCAGCTGTAAAGTAAGCACTTTGAATTATTGTATTAAATGCATGCATTAATATTTTCAAATAAATGGGGCCCCTTCCTATTAAAAGATTCGAACCGGTGTGAAATTGGCGACTAATATTTCCGAAGATAACCGAACATTCATGGGCGGAGGTACAAAATGTATTGCATCAGGGTAATATAATATGTATCTCTTGTTGAAGCATTGCAATATCGAATGTTCACATTTTTTACAATTTTTGCTTTTTTTTATTAAAGGTTTCATCGACTCTCAACCTCCCCACTTTAATTTAAATAATAATTAGCATTACCGCTAGCACATAAACAAAGTAGGTATTTAAATTGTTACTTTTTACAAAAATAATAATATCTCCGCTCTCGTACATGATAAGTACTTCATTTTTTCTGGAAAAATAGTATTCGGGGTGTTATTTGAAATGCTGAAATTTCATCGACTCGCAAGTAGCGGAAGGGTTGTTTTAACAATCCCGAACCATGAAAATAATATCTCAGCTCTCATACATAATAAGTACTTAATTTTTTCTGGAAAAATAGTATTCGGGGTGTTATTTGAAATGCTGAAATTTCATCGACTCGCAAGTAGCGGAAGGGTTGTTTTAACAATCCCGAACCATGAAAATAATATCTCAGCTCTCATACATAATAAGTACTTAATTTTTTCTGGAAAAATAGTATTCGGGGTGTTATTTGAAATGCTGAAATTTCATTGACTTGCAAGTACCGGAAGGGTTGTTTTAACAATCCCGAAATCTGAAAATAATAATATCTCCGCTCTCATACATAATAAGTACTTCATTTTTTCTGGAAAAATAGTATTCCGGGTGTTATTTGAAATACTGAAATTTCATCGACGCGCAAATACCGGAAGGGTTGTTTTAACAACCCCGAAATTTGAAAATAATAATATCTCCGCTCTCATACATAATAAGTACTTCATTTTTTCTGGAAAAATAGTATTCCGGGTGTTATTTGAAATACTGAAATTTCATCGACGCGCAAATACCGGAAGGGTTGTTTTAACAACCCCGAAATTTGAAAATAATAATATCTCCGCTCTCATACATAATAAGTACTTCATTTTTTCTGGAAAAATAGTATTCGGGGTGTTATTTGAAATGCTGAAATTTCATCGACTCGCAAGTACCGGAAGGGTTGTTTTAACAACCCCGAAGTTTGAAAATAATAATATCTCCGCTCTCATACATAATAAGTACTTCATTTTTTCTGGAAAAATAGTATTCGGGGTGTTATTTGAAATGCTGAAATTTCATCGACTCGCAAGTACCGGAAGGGTTGTTTTAACAACCCTGAAATTTGAAAATAATATCTCCGCTCTCATTCATAATAAGTACTTCATTTTTTCTGGAAAAATAGTATTCGGGGTGTATTTTGAAATGCTAAAATTTCATCGACTCGCAAGTACCGGAAGGGTTATTTTAACAACCCCCAAACGTGAAAATAATTATATCTCCGCCCTCATACATAATAAGTACTTCATTTTTTCTGGAAAAATAGTATTCGAGGTGTTATTTGAAATGCTGAAATTTCATCGACTCGCAAGTACCGGACGGGTTATTTTAGCAACCCCGAAATTGGAAAATGGTTAAAGGATGACAGGTCCGTGTGACATGAATATTTATAGAGAACATATTCAAAAACTTTACTTATCTAAGTCCCGAAATATGTAAAAGGAATGTATTCTATGTGGAAAAAATTCGGAAAACAACGAAGGAATTAGATATTATCTTGTGTGAATTTTGCAAAAGGTCTTGCCACAAAACATGCTTATATCTCCGTGGTGTTAATTTTACAGAAGATAATAATTGTTGTGAATTATGTCGCATGTATTAATACTTCTCTTTTATTAGGGAATGATGCCTAAACATTTTTGTAGGTAACCGTATATATATATATATATATATATATATAAATCCTTTAAAGTAATATTTAAATTGTTATAAGTGGCAGGCATCTAAAAATAATATGTAGAATCAATACTATAATTTTCTTAACGCAACCTATTCAATATAACCATGCATTTACCGAAATTGAATGGATTACCTTAAAAACGTATACAATAAATGTTGTTAGTATCAATACGAATGAACTTTATAGCCCAATGTATTTCAAAGACGAACCGCTTGCAAAACTTGATTCATATGAACATTCTCCCTACTTTCAATCAGAAAGTTATCTTCTTGTTGGTGGAATATTGCAACAACCTGTGTGTTGATATAATATAACAATAATTTCCTTCATTTAAAAGAATAAAATATTACCAAATCTTCCAAAGACATGAAGAATTTTGTACCCTCGTGGGTGTAACTATTAACTTTTTTCGGTGTCGTTAACTACGCTTCCGTCGATAAAACATTCAGTATTTTAAACACAGAGCAAAATACTATTTTCATTGAAAAATGAAGAACTTTATACGTATGCGAATAGTGATTTTATTTCTTTCAAATTTCGGGGTACTTAAAATAACCCTTCCAGAATTTGCGCCTCGATAAACTTTCAGAATTTCAAAATGCACCCAAATTGCTATTTATCCAGAAAAATGAAGTAGCTCTTATGTACGAGAGCGGAGTTATAACAATTTTCAAATTTCGGGGTTGCTAAAATAACCGTTCCGGTACTTGCGAGTCGATGAAATTTCAGCATTTCAAAATACACCCCGAATACTATTTTCTAGAAAAAATTAAGTTCTTATTATGTATGAGAGCGGAGATATTATTATTTCCAAATTTCGGGGTGGTAAAACAACCCTTCCGGTACTTGCGAGTCGATGAACTTTCAGCATTTCAATGGGTACGAATAGGTACTATTTTTCCAGAAAAAATGAAGTACTTATTATGTATGAGAGTAGATGTATTATTATTTTCTAGTTTCGGGGTTGTTAAAACAACCCTTCCGGTACTTGCCAGTTTATGAAATATCAGCATTTCAAATAACACCCCGAATACTATTTTTCCAGAAAAAATGAAGTACTTATTATGTATGAGAGCGGAGATATTATTATTTTCAAATTTCGGGGTTGTTAAAACAACCCTTCCGGTACTTGCGAGTTTATGAAATATCAGCATTTCAAATAACACCCCGAATACTATTTTTCCAGAAACAATGAAGTACTTATTATGTATGAGAGCGGAGATATTATTATTTTCAAATTTCGGGGTTGTTAAAACAACCCTTCCGGTACTTGCGAGTAGCTGAAATTTCAGCATTTCAAATAACACCCCGAATACTATTTTTCCAGAAAAAATGAAGTACTTATTATGTATGGGAGCGGAGATATTATTATTTTCAAATTTCGGGGTTGTTAAAACAACCCTTCCGGTATTTGCGAGTCGATGAAATTTCAGCATTTCAAATAACACCGCAAATACTATTTTTCCAGAAAAAATTAAGTACTTATTATGTATGAGAACGGAGATATTATTATTTTCACGGTTCGGGGTTAAAACAACCCTTCCGGTACTTGCGAGTCGATGAAATTTGAGCATTTCAAATAACACAATGCAATACATTTTGTACCTCCGCCCATGAATGTTCGGTTATCTTCGGAAATATTAGTCGCCAATTTTAGTCGCCAATTTCACACCGGTAAGGTCAGACATATTATTAATTACTTTTTCAGAATTAATTGAAGGGAAAAAACAATTTACATTTACGTTAAAAATCGTTAAAATATTTAAAATGAATATTAATACTTTAGTAACCAATTTTACCAGTAATAACATTTATAGTTAAAACATGTTTGATATTTAGGTAAATGTACATACCTGTCCATAATTATTTTAATATTATGTGAATTTGTCATCACAGTTCAGATGCTTTTATCTGAATCTGAATTCATTAACATCCTTGAAAATGTTAAATCCTACATCTTAAAACGTATATTATATTTTCAAGAAAGTCAAGAATCAGTAAAAATTCCATATCATACCAATTTTTCTCAGAATAAGCATTCCTGCATCCTGATTACAAATTTTTAGTACCTATGTGCGTGTATGCTGTATATATTATATTATTTATTATATTTTTAAATACTTTAGGAAACATTTGTAAAAAAATATTTTAGTTGTGAATTTGAGGTGTCTAGCTTTTTTGCAAATGAAGTCATTTTATTATGAGACTCTAATTCTAAATATAAGACTAATATTTGCCCAGGCTTTAGTTTTTTTTTAATATTTTTATACATGGTTTTGATTATGTTTTGTTGCCATAGATAATGTATAGACTTTGCATTATGTGATACAGAAAAATTTACTTTTCAGTGGTATCAATATACAGGTTCGGAAAGTCCCCATGGTACATCGGCCGTTACGTGAAAGCGATAAAGTAAGTCATAGAAATCCGTGCGATAGGCAAGGATGGTTACATTGAAGACGTTTCATAATCTGAATAGTCACTCCCACTTCTAACCCGAAACGGGCGGTGACTATTCAGATTATGAAACGTCTTCACTATAGCCATCCTTGTCTATCGCACGGATTTCTTTACTTCACTTTGTCGCTCTCATGTAAAGGCAGATGGACCATGTGGATTTTCCAGCCCTGTAAAAGGTCTCCACCCACTACACCACTTACACCAGGTAGCATAACAATAAGCGGAACATATTTAGTCTATTTCTCGAATATACCCAGTGTCCGTCGTTCATCAGAACGGACTGACATCGTGCTGCCATTGACATTACGCAAATGATCACTTCCGATTTGCCACAAACGCAATGTGAAAATGTGCACACATTTTTTCATAAATACGTATTTCTAAGGACAGATTATAACATGACTCTCGGCAATTTAATTAATTAACAATAAATAATTAATTATGAGTGCCCTTTTGTTAGACGATGAGAGAAATAAAGGTGAAAGAAATATTCATCTAGACGGTAGAAATAAAATAAATAAAGCTACCATACCATATACCGTACCATACTTCTCCTACCGCTTGGCATGTTCCTTATTTTATTCCTAAGTATTTAAGGGTAATTAAGGGTCAGACAAAAAAACATCAAAGGACTTTTCGTATCAGAATTCCACCCTCTTTCTATCTCTATGTGTCTGTCAACTATTTTTGGGACACCTGGTATATAGGCACATATAACAAACCAACGACTGTCTAAGTTTAGAACAAGGAAGTTAGTCAGGTTATCAGCCTTAAAACAAAAAAGGTACACTCTTTTTTCTGTTCAAGCTTTCGAAACCTTACGGTTTTTTGCTCAGGAATATTACAAAATTTGATCAGAGACAAATTCAATAAAAAAAATGGGAAGGAAAATGTAATTTTCACTTACAATAAGTGAGGTTATATTGAAAGTTGCCAGTTACTTTAGAAATTTCCGTGTAAATATTCCAAACCAAACTGTATTATAGTCATTAAAACATTCATCAAAATAGTCAAATACCTAGTTCAGTACTATCAGTCTTAATAATAATGTTTGTTTATTAAAATAAATTTAAAATATCTCATTGAAATAATTGGTTTGCATTTTTCTAGTGGAGCAAATAGTTGACACTTGTAGAATAATGAATAATGAATGACACATTTGATGATATTTTTAATGTAATAGTCTTTAATATATGAAATCCGCAAATTTCTGAGAAAATCGAAACCGTAACTCCTACAATGCCTACATCGGCTAATAGAGGGTTTGATTTTCTATAATGTGGTGCAAAAAAATACAGGGTGTTCCAGTTGAATTTTAAAACTTTTGTCGGTTTAAAGTTTCAAAATGTAACGTAAAAAACGGGACATTGCCACCACACTAAAATAAATAATTTTATAGACTTATACAATCTTTACAGGTACCTTCTCGTAAACCGATAAACTAAAAACTAAAATAAAAATGTAACAAAATGAAACGGTGATTTAGTATTTGGCCATTCCCTTTCGCCAAATTAACGTGGCGTTTACGAGTTTACAATCCCGTCATATTATACTAGGTGTGAACTGGCAGTAGCAGCTTTTTAGAGGCAATGCGACGTTTTAACTTAACACCGGAGGCTAAGCTGTATAGCATCGATTAGCTGATAAAGTGGCTGAATATGAAAAAGGATTAGACATATACAATAATGGATTTTGTTTAGTGTTTTATAACTTTTTAATAATACCTACCTGTTTTAAGTTTCATAAATGTATCTCTATCTACTTTACTCAGATCAGCTAAACTAGGTCAACGTCAGAGATCAATGACATTGAGGTTCACAAATTAAATACATACACTGCTTAAAAAATACTAACACATAATTGTTTAAAAAATATTTGATATTTATCAGATTGGTATTTTTAGGTGTTTTTTAATTATGTATGTTTTTTAAAAAATAATAATTTTAAATCATAAATTAATTTATTTCATATATAATTAGTAAAGTATATACATACCAGTACTACTTAATGTTTAATAAATAATGTAAAAAAAAAATTTTTCAAGAACAATAGAATGGTTATTTAATGTTCAATGCTTTGTCCACATTGATACAGGGTGTCCCAAAATTCATGCAACAAAATTTGGTCACAGATTCTTAAGACAAATTTAGGGGACCCGTATTTTTTATTTTTGCCAAGTGGCTCCCTCTTTCGGAGTTACAGCCCCTTGAAGTCCGCCCCTAAAAATATTTTTTTTTATATCTCAGAACTCTCTTGTACGAGAATAACTAAATTTGGTACACAGGGGTTTTATGACATGTGGAATCTGATGGTGCTACGTTTTTTAGCGGGCAACCCCCTTAAGACAATTTTTCGTGGACGCGATATTTTCGAGAAAAATGTCAAAATGTGATGAATAACTAATAATTAAAAAAAAATCAAATTTGCGACCAAATTTTTCTGGTTCCAAAGACAAGGGGGCCCATAAAAAAGTGTCTTAAGGGGGTTTCTCGCTAAAAAGCGTAGCACTGTGAGATTCCACATGTCAAAAAACCCCTGTGTACCAAATTTAGTGATTCTCGTACAACATGGATTTGAGATATAAAAAAGACTTCTTAGGGGCAGATTTCAGGGGGCTGTAACTCCGAAAGAGGGGGCTAGTTGTGAAAAAGAAAAAATACGGGTCCCCTAAATTTGTCTTAAGAATCTATGACCAAATTTTGTTGCAAGAATTTCGGAACACCCTGTATGTTTTATTAAATTATTTTCCATTGTTGCTCTCTTAACAGATGATTTTAAAAAGGTAACAGCTAGCAATGCTGATATTGCACTGATAGAACCTATTACGCTAATTCTGGGTAAACAAGAACTAAAGTGCAGCAAAGTAAAAAAACTCATTATAACTATTCAGACTATTACCTCTAAAAACGCTCTATATTGGTATATTTTTGAAGAAATGTTCATATGGAAAACTCTGTTTATTTTTAAAAGTTCTGTCGCATATTTTTAAGACCGACTTAAACCTGACTCACTTCACTTCACTTCATAAGCCCACAGCATAAGTGTTCCATTTTTTAAATTGCGTTTGATATTTTCCTCCTTTTAGCAATTTTTTTAGTTTTCGCTTATAAATTTTAAACCTTAGTAGGAGTTCCTATAAAATTTCCGATTTATAAAAGTTTGTATTTTCAAATATCCTTTTTAATAAAAATAATTCACCTAAAACGGTAATTGTACCTCATTAAAAGATCTGACCCCTAAAATAATCTAATCAAATGAATTTACAGAAAATTACTGAACTCTGTCCTTCACTTCTTAATTTAGCGATCCTGTACTGCACTCTAGTACCAGTGAGAGAACATCTGTGAAATTACTTTTGGAAAAATTAATACTCGAAGAGGATCAATTTGATGTAAGGGATATTTTACCAAACACTATACCAGATCCGTCATCACTAGTGCTGGAATCAGATTATGCATGTCCAATGGGACAAGTTGTTATGGCACCGGACTGTGGTAAGTGAATAATTAAAAGAAAATGCAATGGATATGTTAATAATTATCAAATAATTACAGTTCCATGTGCTATTGGAACATTTTATAGAAAGGAAACCAAAACGTGTAGTCCATGTTCTCAAGGATTTTATCAAAGTGAAAGTGGACAAATGCAATGTATACAATGTCCTCTAATAGCCGGTAAGCCTGGTGTTACATTTGGAGTTGGTGCTCGAAGTGCAGCTGACTGTAAAGGTAGGATATTAAATGATTCCCTAAATTGGTGCCATGATACAAATTGTGCTGAACTGGTAGGACCGCCATGTGGTGAACTTAACTTTGCTCTTTAATACATTAAAATAAGGGACAGGATTGGTAATAATAAGGCACGTCTTCACATCACATCTTCTATAAATATTTATTCAATATATTTTTGTGGGTTACAATTATACTGGTGTATGAAGAATGTGGAACATTGTGTCATTGCTGACATAGCAGAAAATTTAACAGTATGCAACCTACTTCCATCATCAATAGGTTACCCAATACAATCTATAATATAATTTTGAAACGTTTAGTATTCACAAATTATAAACATAATAATTGTCCCACTTACTATTACACTACAAAATATATTCTACAGTATAACAGAAATCTATTTAATATAAATTTGATATAGTGGCGTAAAGCTTGCACATCACTGATGTTTCAAATTGAGTTGTAATTTTATGTGATGATAGTAGTATATCATATACATTTTTAAAATAATTACTGTAGGTATTAGTTTTCTATATGTAACAAAAAGTTATTATTTTTTTATTAATTAGAACAATTTATCTCTCGGAAACGGCGTATTTTCTGATAGAAATTATACAACAAACTAACAATGTTTATGTTCTGTCAACCTCTGAAGTTTAAACATTTAACCCTGAAATGTCCTGTATATTGCAATACAGGGTGAGTTTTTAGTTCGTATTTCTTCCGTAGCGCTCGTATAATATTCAACAAAATGGGACAGTGAAAGGTTTTTCCGCCATATCGTTGCATATTTTAAAAATATTGACGAATATACGGGGTGTTGCGTTTTCGCGGTACACGGCCTAACTTTCTTATTTAAAACGGAACACCAACGACCTCAGAAAGGATAGAGAGTGCATTGTCTTGGATTGTTTTGTTCTATTGTAAGAAGTCTTTTTTATATCTCAAAACCATGTTGTACGAGAATCACTAAATTTGGTACACAGGGGTTTTATGACGTGGAATCTCACAGTGCTACGTTTTTTGGCGAGAACCCCCCTTAAGACACTTTTTCATGGGCCCCCTTGTCTTTGGAACCAGAAAAATTTGGTCGCAAATTTATTTTCTTTTTAAATTATTAGGTAGCTAGAAAGCCATTGAATTTAGAAACTTGTTTCTCTTGATATTTGTTTCGTAAAACGCAATGTTTTTGAGGAAAATGGCGAATCACGATATGCATTCGATCACGTTTTGACATTTTTCTCGAAAACATTGCGTTTTACGAAAAAAGTATAAAGTGACAAAAAGTTTCTAAATTTAATGGCTTTCTAGTGGACTGAAAATTTTTAAATAATTTAAATATGCGACCAAATTTTTTTGGCTCCAAAGACAAGGGGGCCCATGAAAAAGTGTCTTAAGGGGGGTTCTCGCCAAAAAACGTAGCACTATGAGATTCCACATGTCATAAAACCCCTTGAAGTTGAATAATTTTTTCATTTTTTATTAATAGCTCTTAGAATTATAAACCATTTGTTCTCAAATTTTGTGTGGTGAATGCCACAGTGCACTAGTACTAATACAAAATCTCAGCTCGACAGAAAGAGCCAGTGGCGTGCATTCCGCATTTGCCGATACCTTTTATAAAAAGTATATGTTACGCCCACTGACTGATCTTCAAAATAATTAGTAATTTCAATTGTCCGTGCATTGTTCTGCCAAAAAGCATTCTTACGTTTTCTCCATAATAGGCACCGTTACGGAGTAAACCGACATTTTATAAAATCATCCTTGATCTTAATTTTACCAAAACTGTTGTAATCAACAACTGAAACGCTCAGGAAGCACATTCCTGGTTACTTGAATATTATCTGTGATGTTGATTCCTGAAACTTTACCATTAATGTAGCAACGAATATTATATGTTCAAATTGCAAGCCCCTCGCTGGAATACACACTTTGTTCACTCTTAGTAATAGAAAATTAAAAATCAGAGTTGCTTTGAAAACAGTTTTGGTTGTCATAATAAATTTGACATGCTCACTCTTTGTGGAGAAACGAAAACTTAAATTAACATTAATTACTCGGATTTAGTTTATTATAAAATACCATTAAGTGCTTTAATAATACCACATAAATTTTCAAATGCTGAATATGCTGATGTACTGTTCTGTTACGGATTTTGTAATGGTAACGCGTTGGAGGCATCTCGAGAATACAGACGGAAGTTTCCTGGTAGACGACATCCAAAGTCTCAAGTATTTACTGATACATTTCAAAGACTCCATAAACTGGTATAGTCCATTGAAATGTTACATTTTTTGGGCTTAGCGTGCAAAAGTCAGAGCACCTAATTTTATTTTTTGGATGTCAAGAGAGGGCTAGTGTAAAGTTAAATCCATGTTTATGGGGTCGCAACCCTTGTGCCTCGGCCGCCATCTTGTAAAAAGGGCTGCGAATGGTTTTTATACTACTACTTGCTATATCGGGCAAACTATTCGTCGCACAGAAAATTTGTAAAATACATTTTTTGTTGCAAATTAAATTCTCTACAACTTTCCGTAACTTTTAGTCATTGGACCAAAAATAACAAAGTTATTAACGAAAATAGATAAAAATTTGGGAACAAATTTTCTTTTGGTCGTTATAACTTTTTTCTGGTCATTTTACAAAAAAAATACATCAGAGCATGTTTTTTCAAGGAATAATTTACATTACAAACTTTTTTCAAATTTTATTTATTTATTAGGGTTTACAGCGATGCGAAACTTACACTATTCTCCAGTACTAGTAAGTATACATTAATATGAATGATTAGGCGTAGTTTTCTCTCATCTTTCCATTATTTTTATAAGAAACATTTTAATGATTGACATTGCAATGTTGTTAATTAGTTATTGACTCTTTTCCCCACCCCTATGAGGTAGAGTCTGGTGGCGCGTTTTTTTACGTCGTATCCCTAGTAGGCAGAATCCATATGGACATTTTCTAGCTGACATAATAATTAGTCTAATTAAAAATATCGAAATATATTTCCTAATCTACTGTGTCCTCAGTCTCTTCGATGGGCCAGGCTGCGACTCAGGATCTGGTTGAGTTTCCGATATTGAATTGTTGAGGAAGGATGGAGAATGAAGTGGCGTCATTATTGGCAGTTCATCTTCAAAATCAATCTCCTCAATCAACTTTGATATCTCCATTATGTTGCTGCATGTCTCCCTGGAACAATTCAGGCACACTGCAGAACATTTGAGGCCTGCTAGTAGATAAGTGAGACCGTTTCTGCAGCGGAAGTGACGTCACATGGCCAGTGTCCATCGAGTTCGGCGCACTCCTTCAGCGACTTCTTGTGGGCATTGTCGTTGTGCAAGAGATGCGTGAGTGTTGGCATGCAAGAAGTGTCATGGCGGCACGGGGGTGGCTACATGAGGGGGCTGAGGGCAGGTCGCTAACAAGAAGTGTCATGGCGGCATGGAAGTGACGTCACATGGCCATCAAGCTGCAAGAAGTGTCATGGCGGCATGGAAGTGACGTCACATGGCCATCAAGCTGCAAGAAGTGTCATGGCGGCATGGAATGACGTCACATGGCCATCGAGCTGCAAGAAGTGTCATAGCGGCACGGGGGCGGTTACCTGTGGAGGCTGAGGGCAGGTGATAGGTCGCTAACAAGAAGATGGCGGCGGTCTGCAAGGAAGTTGATTGGTCGTTAGCGATAAGATGGCGGCGGCCTACATGGAGCGAGGCGGGTTGCTGAAGAGTTGGTCAATGACCAGAGGGTTAGTTCGGAATTCTGCCGCCAGGATTTTATAGATGTCGCTGGTAGGAGGAGGCGGGGCAAGATGGCTGTAGCGGGAAGATAGCGGCGGTAAGATGGCGGCGTGCGGGGTGCGGCACGTAGCGGCAGGTGATAGGTCGCTAACAACAAGATGGCGACAAAGAGGCGTGGCTATGGTTACGATAAGGGAGGGGTCAATGACCTCCAAA